AGAAAAGCACTTGTTTGGCAGGATCTTTTTTGCACACATCTAATCAACATGGGTAACATCTTTCCAGTATGCTATTCTCACTCAGATGACAGAAGCAGAACTCATTTTATGGCAGTTTGTCTAATTTTTAAGGCCAGTTAGCAAAAGAGGTGAAGCCCAGCTCCATTAACAAAATGTGAGTGTATAATATATGCACAAGAAATTGGTGCAAACCATGACAATAACTGCCAACTTTGCTGCTTAGAGGTCCAAGCAGCCATTTGTGCATGCAAGTATGTTATTTGCACATGCAATTTCAGTAAATGTATGCACAGATTAGGCATGAAAATGCCCACACTATTTTATATGTACCTATGAGGAAAAATCTCACAATGGCACTTAGGAGCATTATAATTCCCTCCTTTCTTCTAGTCTGACAGGCCAAGCTTGTTAGCTCATCACCATGTAATAGACAGTCGGGGCAGTCTGCTATTACAACAGATTACTTAAAATCACAGTACAATCCCATATAAAGAAATTAAGGTGGAACTCCCCCTTCTCCAAGTCAGCAAGGTGGTGCTTTGATAGGCTGCTGGGTTGAGGATGTGTGCACAGCTACATTCTCTTCTATATTTATTCTCTGAACTTTACTAGCCAAGGCTGTCATGCCAGAACCTTTCAATACCAGCAAATTTATTTAGATCAGTGGTTTGGAAATTGGGTTGCCCAAAGTTAAGCTCCAGAATCCATTTAGACACCCACATAAAAAAGCCACCTGGTTTTCACAGGTACTCAGCAGCTGCAGTTCATATTGATTTAAGTAAATTATTTAAGCTTTGGTGCAAAATTAACAAAATGCCTGAACTTTCATATGCACTTCACTTTAAATTCTATGATCATCTGCATATTTTCTTTTAAGCAGAATCTGATCTTTTCTGTCACTGTCTGAGAGTCAGTCTCTCTTAGAGCTGCCTGATGGGATCTCCTCATGTCTCTCAGATTTTATACTTTACCAGTGCATCCCCCAGTCATGGAACAGGACCACATTGTGCTAGGCATTGTACAAACGCAAAATAAAAAGATGGTCCATGCCCTCAAAGAGCTTGTCTCTTCCAGATACGGGCATGTAGGCAAAGCATGATTCCACATAAGATTTGCTAATAAACCTCTTCCAGACCTAGCCTGTGTTGGGGGCAAATAGTGATTTTTTTTGGTAGAGTGATTCATGGGAATCGAGTGGGAAGAGAAAGTCCTTGCCTTGTGGAAGAGGACAAAGGTAATCTTGTCATCAGCCTGGCGTTTTTTTTTTTTTAAGAGGCTACAGGTTTTTATATCAAGTTGCAACTGTAACCTTGCAGGAGAATCAGTCAAACCTGGAAGACAGGAATGTAGTCTAACTGGATTTAAAAGGAAAGCATGCTATGTCCAAGTCAAACACAACCTGTGAATAGTTCCTCTTCGGAACACTTTTTCACCTCTTCTGTTTTGAACTGAGAAAAGAAATTCCAAAAGAAATAGGCTAATTGTTCCAACTTGCTGTGAGGAGTAGCATTTATATATATTTTTGGAACCAAAGCACTTTCCTTAAGGGAGAAGTTCAGTCTTTGTGTGGCTCCCTATCTCCCTATGTAAGGGTGAATATCATCCTCCCTTCCCCCACCATCTAAAAATCATAGGTCTGGTTCTGTGGTTTTGCAGAGTAAAGACTGACCAAGTAATAAATAAAAAGTGATCTCTTGCCCATGCTGTGTGAAACCACTCTGAAACTAACCCTTTAAATGCCATTTATTGACCAACCTAAGATTGTAATACCACAATCAGATAGCGTTCAGTAATAGAGGAACGTACAGAAGGAGCTCAGGCATTCAGTTAATTCAGCACTGAAACAGCCATGTGCTTTGCTGGAAGTCCCTTTACAATCAGTCAGGCTTAGTTCTTGTTTCACTATGTTCTGTGCCTAGGGAACAGCATGTTTTGCTGCTGATTTTCAGTGACAGCATAAGTAAGTCTGATTGGATCTGCACTGCAGGTGGCTGCTGAGGAAAATAAAATAAATGCAGAGCAGAGGTGTACAAGGATCTGTCACTGTACAAATATCCAATGAGAGCAAGAAGCTTTTGATCCGACCCATATGTAACCAAAGACGGACTAGGAGTGGGGTAGGGCCCTCAGAAAATCCCCTTCCTACCTTCACAGAAGTCATCCAGCTCTCATTCACTCTTTGCAGAAGATGGGTGGGACAGGAGTTGTGATCTAACAAGCTGTGGGAGGTGGAACAGGACTCTTGAACTTGGAAAGGAGATTTTATCCACCTTACACAGAAGGGAAGGGACCAGAAGGAACAAGGGAGGAGTGAAATTACTCACACTGAGCAAACAACCACCACCCCGGAAAAATTCAAACAGCAACAAAGCTGTGGCTACTCATTCAGAAGGTGCAAAATTGAAATCCTTAAATGTTCACATTCAAGGTTTGCAAGATAGTAGTGCATTGCATGATGTGCATTAGTCAAACAGGAAGGGTAAATTAGCTAAGACTGGCATTTATAGACACCCCATGCTCTCCTGGGAAATCTTACGAGGGAAATTCAACAAGTATCAAGAAAGCGTTAATAGCCCCCATGCAATTTGGCAAGCATCTCTCTTGGAAAGTCTATTTCCTTTTGTCTTTCTGTCAATTTGCACTAAGCATCAGCTGGCAAATGGTGATGCAAAGTAAAAGATGACGTGCACAAGCCACGCTGAACAATAAACAAATCAACACACAACTGTGCAGCTGCATCCTTCACAAAAATTCATGAGAACAGACAGATCTAGATTGAATTGTGGGATAGAAGTACATCAGGAAAACAGCCCAGTCCAAGACACAGGAGAAATAATTACCCTGAATATTACCTTGTAGAGGCTCTTTCCAAAGAGTCCCACGACCACTGGAGCTCTTTAGGTGGCAGTGCTGCAGTCCCTCAGTGATCAGCTGCCAGCTGTAGCTTGTTGTGGCTTTAACAATCAGCTGTCAGAACACTCAGGAACACTAGGTGCAAATAAACAGAGGGGTGGAGTGTACTACTCTACCAGCCCTGTCCAACTATTTTCTGTTCCTGGACTTTAGGGCCACTCAAACCTGTTCAGTTGCATCCATTTGCTTCACTTTTTTTTCTCTGCTGAGTTCTTACACTGTGCTGTCCCAGCAGCAATAAATTCTGTTTCTTCCCAGGGTTAACAACTATTTGCTGAACACTATTTAAAAGAGCACAATTTCCCTCACATTGCCAAAACAGACCACGGGAAAATCATTGATGATTTTCCTGTTCAGTGCAGATGAGATGGATCTTATATTTCCTTCTGAAAAGGGCAATACTATATATCCATTTTTATTTTCAGAGCATTGCGAAAATTAAATATTTAACCTTCATTTTACTATTTTATATATAGACCTTGAGACAGGGATTGTCTTTTTACTCTGTGTTTGTACAGGACTCAGCCCAATGGGGTGCTGGAGCATTACTGGGGCTCTGAGGTGCTCCCACAGTCTACTGTATATTTGAGAGAGTCTCTGTGTGTGTCTGTCTGTTCAAGGACTCCTCCTAAAGCAGGGGTGTCCAAACTTTTTTCAAAGAGGGCCAGATTTGAAGAAGTGAACATGCGTGAGGGCCGGGTCAGAGGCGGGCGGAGAGCGCAGGGCACGCCAGCCCCACGGCGGCCTGGGGGCAGGGCGAACCCGCAGCCGAGCGGGGCTGCGGACGTGCCCTACAGGGCAGGCTCTAGGACCGCGGTGGCGGCGCGGCTGGAAGCGGCGCGCTGGGCGCGCCAGTTCAAAAGAGCACCAGGGAGCCAGGAGAGGGGGAGGAAGCGGGGGCCGTATTAAATCGGAACACGGGCCGCAATTGGCCCGCGGGCCGGACTTTGGACATGCCTGTCCTAAAGAGTAAGAGCTAGGAATACCAAATACAGCTTCCAAATGCAGGCAAGAGCTTGGTTGTGCCAGGAAAATGGGATGTGCCTGGGATGGGACTGTTTCTCATAAAACCATAAAGGAAAGAGTCACAAGGCACTGGAAAGGGGCGGGCTGGGGGCATGCCCCCCCATCTGGGACTGCTCCAGTTATGAGCCTCCCATCCTCTGGTACCGTTTAGGAAAGGCAAGGAAGCTGCTCCCCCCTAATTTATATGGGGGCATTGCTGGCTGTTCCTCTTTATCAGGGAGCAAAGGGAAAGTGCACAGTTTGCTGCATTCTGACAAGGGAACTCAGGGGCAGAGGAACCTGGTCATGACCCCGCCAGGGAGGGGCATGTACCCGTCTGCCAGCTGTGCCCACTGGAGCTGCAGTGGTCATGGAGAGGTGCTTTTCACCTGGCCCCAAGTTGCTGCAGAGAGAGAGAGAGAGGGCTGGGATAGTCCTTTCTCCCCAGGGCAGCTTGCATACCCTCCACCCCTCACCCCCAGTCCCACCTCAGAGCAATGATTTAAATGAAGCAGGTGCATTTTCATTTTATTTTCCAAAAAACAAAAATTAATTGAATTAAGGACCTGAGCAACATCAGGTAAATCTTCCAGTACAAAACAACAAGGAGTCCCATGGCACTTTAAAACTAATGTTTATTTGGGAATAAGTTTTCGTTGGTACTAAAACCCACTTAGAATCATAGGGTTGAAAGAGACCTCAGGTGGTCATCGAGTCCAACCCTCTGCCCAAAGCAGGACCAACCCCAACTAAATTATCCCAGCCAGGACTTTGTCAAGCCAAGACTTAAAAACCTCTAGGGATGGAGATTCCACCACCTCCCTAGTTAACCCATCCCAGTGCTTCACCCCCCTCTTAGTGAAATAGTTTTTCCTAATATCCAACCTAAATCTTCCCTACTGCAAGTTGAGATCATTGCCCCTCATTCTGCCATCTGTTACCTCTGAGAACAGTCCCTCTCTATCCTCTTTGGGACCCTCCTTCGGGTATTGACGGCTGCTATCAAATCCCCCCTGACTGTTCACTGCTTTAGACTGAATAAGCCCAAATCCCTCAAACTCTCATAAATCATGTGCTACAGCCCCCTAATCATTTTGTTGCCCTCTGCTAGACTTTCTCCAGTGCGTCCACATCATTTCTGTAATGGAGGGAAGGGGCAAAATTGGATGCAATACTCCAGATGTGGCCTTACCAGTGCCGAATAAAGGGGAATAATCACTTCTCTAGATTTGCTGGAAATGCTCCTCGTAATGCACCCTAATATGCCATTAGCCTTCCTGGCTACAAGGGCACACTGTAGACTCATATCCAGCTTCTCATCCACTGTAACCCCCAGGTTGTTTTTTTTTGCTGAACTGCTGCTTAGCCAGTCGGGCTCCAGCCTGTAACAATGCTTGGGATTCTTCCTTCCTAAGTGCAGGACTTTGCACTCGTCCTTGTTGAACCTCATCAGATTTCTTTTGGCCTAATCCTCCAATTTTTCTAGGTCTCTCTGGACCCTATCCCTACCCACCAAAGTATCTACCTCTCCCTCTAGCTCAGTGTCACCCACAAACTTGTTGAGGAGGCAATCCATCCCCTCATCCAGGTCATTAATAAAGATGTTGAAAAAAATTGGTCCTAGAAGCAACCCTTGGGGCACTCTGCTTGATACCGACTTCCAACCAGACATCGAGCTGTTGATCATTACCCGTTGGACCCGACAATCTGGGCAGCTTTCTATCTACTTTACAGCCCATTTATCCATCCATACTTCTTTAACTTGCTGGCAAGAATATTGCAGGAGACTGTCACAGGGCGGGACTCACCCCCATAGCACCTCCTGCTGGTAGCACTGGGAATTAGCTCTTATCTCCCTGCCAGAAGCCTCCCTCTGACAGGTGTCTCCCTGTGTCCTCACTCCACATTCCAGTTCTGGACCCGCATTGCTTCTGGATCACAGCATCCTCTTCAGGACACTGTCCTCTAGCAGTGCCCACTACAGTTGTCAGTCATCCCCCTTTCGGGAGGTTTACCAGCAGTCCTGTGTCTCTGCACTCTGGGGTCCTCCCCTCCCAGGGAACCCCCTATTCCCATCTTGTCTCAGTACCACAGCCAATCGTCATTAGCCCCTGCCACAGGGGCAAACTGCAGTCTGAAATGGCCACTCATCATTGGCAAGGGGGGTGCAGACTAGCTGCCTCTTTCTAGCCTTGCTGTCTCCCTGAAGCCCTAGTACACTCAGGCCTTGCCTCAGTCCCAGCAGCCTGCGAGTGAGGCCAAGCCAGAGCTCCCCAGCCCGGCCTGCCTTTTCTCAGCACTACATTGTCCAGGAAGCCTCCCGCTTTTCTTGAAGTTGGGTCCTTCCTGCTCCCCAGCTAGAACAAGAGTGTCTCTGTCCTCATCTCCCTCCTGGAGCCCTTATTTATCCAGCCCCCATCTGGGCCCTCATTGGCAGCATCTGCTTCAGCTGTGGGCTTTGCTCCCTCAGCCCTCTCCCAGGGCTGGGTTTTACCTTTAAAGGGCCAATGCAGGATAGACACCCCATCACAGAGACTATATCAAAAGCTTTGCTAAAGTCAAGGCATATCACCTGCACTGCCTTCCCCATAGCCCCAGAGCCAGTTACCTTGTCATAGAAGCCAATAAGGTTGGTCAGTCATGACTTAGAATCATAGAATCCTAGGGCTAGAAGAGATCTCAGGAGGTCATCGAATCCAGCCCCCTGCTCAAAGTAGGACCAACCTCAACTAAATCATCCCAGCCAGGGCTTTGTCACGCTGCGACTCAAAAACCCGTAGGAATGGAGATTCCACCACCTCCCTAGGTAACCCATTCCAGTACTTTACCACCCTCCTAGGGAAATAGTTTTCCCTAATAGCCAACCTAGACGTCCCCCACTGTAAATTGACACCATTGCTCCTTGTTCTGCCATCTGTCACTACTGAGAACAGCCTTTTTCCATCCTCTTTGGAAGGCTGCTATCAAATCCCCTCTCACTCTTCTCTTCTGCAAACTAAATAAGCCCAAATCCCTCAGCCTCTCCTTGTAGGTCATGTGCTCCAGCCCCCTCATCATTTTGGTTGCCCTCCGGTGGACTCTCTCCAATACATCCACATCCTTTCTATAGTGGGAGATCCAAAACTGGACGTAATACTCCAGATGTGGCCTCACCAGTGCCAAATAAAGACTTGCCCTTGGTAAATCCATATTGACTATTCCTGATCACTTTCCTCTCTTCCATTCCTTCAAAATGGATTCCTTGAGGATCCCCTCCATGATTTTTCTGGGGACTGAGGTGAGGCTGTCTAGTCTGTAGTTCCCTGGATTGTCCTTCTTCCCTTTTTAAAAGATAGGCACTACATTTGCCTTTTTCTAATTGTTTGGAACTTTCCCCGATCACCATGGCTGTGTCTACACTGGCATCCCTTTCCGGAAAAGGGATGCTAATGAGACACTTCGGAATTGCAAATCCACGGGGGATTTAAATATCCCCCACGGCATTTGCATTTACATGGCTGCCTTTTTTTTCCGGCTCGAGGTTTTTGCTGGAGAAAAGCGCCAATCTAGACACGATTCTCCGTAAAATAAGCCCTTTTCCAGAGGATCCCTTATTCCCTTGAAAGTAGGAATAAGGGATCTTCCGGAGAAGGGCTTATTTTCCGGAGAATTGCATCTACACTGGTGCTTTTCAAGTAGGAATAAGGGATCGCCTGGAAAAGGGCTTATTTTCCGGAAAATCGCGTCTAGACTGGCGCTTTTCTCTGGCAAAAACCCCGAGCTGGAAAAAAGCAGCAGCCATGTAAATGCAAATGCCGCGGGGGATATTTAAATCCCCCGCGGATTTGCAATTCCGAAGTGTCTCATTAGCATCCCTTTTCCGGAAAGGGATGCCAATGTAGACGCAGCCCACGAGTTTTCAAAGATAATGGCCAATGGCTCTGCAACCATATCAGCCAACTCCCTCGACACCTTCGGATGCATTAGATCTGGCTCCATGGATATGTATGTTCAACTTTTCTAAATAGTTCTTAACCTGTTCTTTCTCCACTGAGGGCTGCCCACCTCCTCCCATACTCTGTGGTCTAGTGCAGTAGTCTGGGAGCTTACCTTG